CTCCCTTAGCATGCAGGAGGTACCGGGATCGCTACCAGGATTCTCCAGATTTCCTTTTTTTTTTCGTTGAAAATCATTATTTTTCCAGATTCAGCAACTCCTTCTTATGGAAATACGGGTGTATGTCTGCAATAAAAAAACATCACCTTTGTGAGAACGTCAGTTGGACGTGTGTTCATGTTTGGCGTTTGTTTTAAATAGCAAAAAGATAAAATTGTAATTTTAGCGAAATATAACATCGGTAAAGCATCTGCATGAATAAATCAATAAAATAGCTTTCTGTTCATCATCATCAAATAGGAATTGACCTCGCTAAAAGACCTAAATTAAGGTATAAATTCGTTAAGAACAGCATATTGTCGTAGGCTGAACATTAGGCTATTTACAAATCTATGGCGNGTACAATTTACAAACATTTTCCAAACATTTTGAAATGAACAGAACTAAAAACTAAACAAAATCTTTGCAAAATAAATTTACAGACATTTTGTTTTTGAGCGGGATAAGTGACCAAGTCTGCAAATTCAGGATCTACAAACATTTCATAAAGTCTGTAAATGGGTCAAATTTTCCAGTGTGCAAGGGTCGAACTCATGACCTTAGTGTTATCAGCACCACGCTCTGTCGACTGAGGTAACGGACCAGATTAATTAATCTCGTTACTGTCTCTTATCAAGTAAGAGAAATTAATCAGTATGAGCTGTAATACGAAAGGTTGGGTGCAGTGCGATTGAGAAGCCGGTTAGCAATTGCAATTTGGCATCTTGAACTTCTCAAATGGCAGGGCGCTCCCTTAGCATGCAGGAGGTACCGGGATCGCTACCAGGATTCTCCAGATTTCCTTTTTTTTTTCGTTCAAAATCATTATTTTTCCAGATTCAGCAACTCCTTCTTATGGAAATACGGGGGTATGTCTGCAATAAAAAAAGCATCACCTTTGTGAGAACGTCAGTTGGACGTGTGTTCATGTTTGGCGTTTGTTTTAACTAGCAAAAAGATAAAATTGTAATTCTAGCGAAATATAACATCGGTAAAGCATCTGCATGAATAAGTCAATAAAATAGCTTTCTGTTCATCATCATCAAATAGGAATTGACCTCGCTAAAAGACCTAAATTAAAACAAGGTATAAATTCGTTAAGAACAGCATATTGTCGTAGGCTGAACATTAGGCTATTTACAAATCTATGGCGATCTAGAACATCAGTCCGTAATTATATTTACCCTTCATATATGGAACGAGGAACGAGCACTGGTGAAGTTGAAGTCGATTTAAGACTGTCTGTCCTGAAGCCCTTGCATGCCCGCTGGATGGTAAGCCTTTAC